GCCACTGCCACCCCAGCCTGAGTGATGGAGTGAGACTCCAACTCAAAAAAAAAAAAGGCCGGGCTTGGTAGCTCAGCCTGTAATCCCAGCACTTTGGGAGACCAAGACGAGTGAATTGCCTGAGTCTGCGGGTTCAAAACCAGCCTGGTCAACTTGGCAAGGCCTCATCTCTTCAATAAATGAAAAATTAGCTGATCATGGTAGCGTGCACCTGTAGTTCCGGCTACTTGGAAGACTGAGGCGAACGGATGGCCGGAGCCCCCCAGGTGGTGGACTGGGGTGGTGGTGAGTATGCCACTGCACTCCAACCTGGGCAACGGAGTCAGACTCCAACTCAAAGAAAAAAAAGAAAAGTGCTTAAGTTCTAGTTAGACCTTTGGATGAGAATATTTTTGGAAGGTGAGCTGACTACAGTGATTGGAATCAGGCACTCAATTCTGGGATGCGATTTTTTTTTAAGGTCTAGTATATTGAGATATAATTTATTTACCTCAAAATTTACCTTTTTTCTTTTTTTTTTAAGTTGGAGTCTCACTCTGTCGTCCAGACTGGAGTGCAGTGGCCGCTCCCGGCCACTGCAGCCTCGACCTGCTGGGCTCCAGCGATCCTTCCACCTCAGCCTTCCGAGTAGCCAGAATTACAGGCGCGCACTACCACGCCCGGCTAATTTTTTGATTTTATTGTAGAGATGAGGTTTGCCTGCCCAGGCAGGTCTCGAACCCACGGGCTCAGGCAATCCACTCACCTCAGCCTCCCAAAGGTGCAGGATTACAGGCTGAGCCACCGAACCTGGCTGATTTTTTGATTTATTGTAGAGATGAGGTCTCGCTGCCCAGGTGGGTCTCGAACCCGCGGGCTCAGGCAATCCACTCACCTCAGCCTCCCAAAGGCGCGGGATTACAGGCTGTGCCACCGAGCCCGGCTAAAATTCACCTTTTTTAAGTCCAATAAGTTCTTTCCCTTATAGTCAATTTGGTCATTCTGAGATGAGTTTTTTGGGTTTAGCACACTTCTGGCCAAAAAGTGTTTGTCAGAGTCTTTTGAATTTCATTTCTTGTTGAGAAGCCAGTTGAAACTGAAGTTACTTTTGGTGTGTTAACCAGAAGGAGATTTGGGTTTTCACACAGCTTCGGCTTCCCTGGAGCAGCATTTAGTGATGGGAAGCTGTGTGACTGGCAGCTCAGAGAGGGGAAACACTGTCTTCTTGAGGCCAGGCAGAATCCCTAGCCTGCAGACGCAGCCTTATTAGCAGATGACTTTGACCCACACACCTTAGGGCAATTGGGCGGAAACCGGAAGTCTTCTGAGGTTGATGGCATATGCATCCTGCAGTGCTGTTCCCAGGTGGGAATGTGTTCCCTGGTTCTTGTTGGGACCTCCTCCTCCTAGGGCAGGCCAGAGGGAAAACTTTCTCCAAGCTGGTGCTTATTCAGGTCAGGAGCCTTTTTCTTGGCTCCCAAATGAAAATCTATTCTACATCCGACTTACTTCCTCTTGAAATGGACTTACTAATTACCACTGAAGGTGTTTTGCTCTTTTAATGTACTGGGCATGGAGAGCTCCAAAGGGATTTCACATTACTTTGTAGGCTGGTGGATTCCGTAGCCAAACCTATTTCAGGAATTGCGTTAATTATTTCATTGTCCCCCCTAAAATCTTAGGCTGTATCAAGAGTATCGCTGGAGATGACTAGGGTTTGCTTTGTTTTGCAGTGTGTCTCTAATTGAGTGCCGTGGTGATTTACATGATGTGTGTTCATTTTCCCCTTTCTTGTGTGCTTTCTTATCCCCTAGGAAACCCAGGTTGACAAGAACTCAAAGTGCCTTTTCTCCGGTCTCCTTCAGCCCCCTCTTCACAGGTAAGGGTAATACCTTTCTGTTTCTTCTGACATCTGAAAGCAGTAGTGTTCTGCAACATGTCGGACACACACTCATAGATGCGTCGCAGAGGGACTGCAGGCGTGTCTGCAGTTAGTTCCTTCATTGCGTGCACACTGGGTTGGAGCAAGGCTATTTTTATGGTGTGGAAATTGTTCTTGACTTTGGATGCTTTATAGTTGGAGGTAGAGTCTGCTTGTTGGTAATTGGGCAGCCCTAGCAGTTATGCAGGGCTTAGTTCAGGGTCATCCTATATAAAAGTAAAAGTAGGAATTACAAATTTATGGGCTCACAGTGCATAAAAGACTCCCTAGAAGTTATACAATTTCTATCCCTACTTCCAAGGAAGTTCATGGAGTATCTAATAAAAATGATCCACGATTATCCGGCCTATTTTTTTTTTTTTTTTTTGA